CATGGCTGCCTTTTTGCTACAGATGAAGAACTTAGACTAAAAACAAATGAAAAGAAATAACCATCCTCAGATAATCTTAAAATATGAAAGTATTTAACATTTAAAATTAGCAAAATCCCCCAAAAACTCAACCTGTGTTATATTTAAATCAATCAAAACAAACTTAGGGTAACTCTGGAATTCTGAAGAGGACATTTGGTGACAAAAGCCAATGATATCTTAAAGAAAAAAAAGGATTTGTATCTGTCTTCTGAATATGCTCTATGCTGCTATCATTGCTGTCACTTAACATAGATAACATTGTGAGGTCCCCCTTACCTGTGATGATACATAAGTTCTGACCATAACACAAAATTCCAATAGAAACATATAACTCATTTATTTTGAAGTCATGTGACATTATTTATGGACCTGCCAGGCCTTGGACCTGTCTAAATAATGTAGGCTCCCAGACAGAATAGCTATGCTGTTTGAATAATTCTAGAAAAAATTTTGTAATTGTCATGATCAGAGCTTCTACTAATTTTCCCTATCCCAGCATTACCTGTCATATAATAGGCTTGGAAGAAATGGAAAAATCAGAGATGATTACAAAATCTCTTGGACCACAGTGACATCAGCAAGATGCCAGACTAGGAAGCTTCAGGCCTTCTGTCCCCCATGGGAATATTAGAAAAACAACTAAAGACTGACTAAATTAACTGTACAGGAGCTTTGAAAGCAGTCGGTGATCTTAAGCATCCAAGCGAATGCCCAGTTAAGAAAAAACCACATTTGATATGGTAGAAAAATTTGGACACTTTTTAATCTCCCTTGTCCCACCTTTTCTCCATGCAGTGGAGAAAGGACAGTCTTTTCAGCAGCTGGTACTAGGAAGTGGATATCCACATGCAAAAAATAAAGTTGAATCCTTACCTCACGTCATATACAGTAAGTTACTCAAAATGGACCAAAGATCTAAATGTAAGTCATAAAACTATAAAACTCATAGAAGAAAACATAAGAGAAAAGCTCAATGACACTGGGTTTGGCAATGACTTCTTGGGTAATGACACCAAATGCACAGGCAACAAAAGAAAAATCAGATAAATTAAACTTAGTCAAAATAAAAAAAATACATTAAAGGACTATAGATGGAATAAGGTAACTTTTGGAACAGGAGAAAATATTTTCAAATCATCTATCTGATAAACAAGCAATTTCCAGAATATATAAAGAATTCCTATGTTCAACAATAAAAAACCAAAAATATTTTTATTTAGAAAGGGCAAAAGAACATATACAAATGGCCAAGAAATACATTAAAAGATGCTTATCAATAATAATTAAAGAATGCAAATCAAAACCATAATTAAATATCACTTCACATTCATTAGGATGGCTGTTATATATAATATAGTATGTAAAAAACCCAGAATATTAAAAATGTTGGTAAAGATATGATGAAATTGGAACCTTTGTGCCTTGCTGGTAGAAGTATAAAATGGTATAGCCACTGTGGGAAATGGTATGGCAGTTCCTCAAAAATTAAACATAGAATTACCATATGATCCAGCAGTCCCCTCCTGGATGTATACTCATAAAACTGAAAGCAGGGCTCTAACAGATTTTGTGCACTCATGGTAACAGTAGCCCGACTTGTGAGTCGCGCTGGGGAAAAGTGGCAGACTAGGAATCTTCGGTCCCTCTGCCCCGCCTGGAAACATTAGGGAAACACAATAACCAAGAGTTGGAAGCAATCTGAGTGTCCATCGATGGATAATAAATGAACAGATAAATTGTGGTCTACACATAAGATGGAATATTATGCAGCCTTAAAAACAAAACATTTCTAATACAAACTACGACATGCCTAAACTTTCAGGACATTATGCTGCGTGAAACACGCCCATCACAAGAAGACAAGTACTGTATGGTTACGTTTACATGAAGTACCTACCGCAGCCAAACTCATACAGACAGAAAGCACAGTGCTGGCTGCTGGGAGCAGAGGGGAGGGAGGTACGGGAATTATTTAGTGGCATCAGCTATAGTTGGGACAGATGAATTCTAGAGATGATAGTGATGACGGTTACATAAAACTTGAATGTACTTAATGCTACTGAATAGTACGCTTAAAAATGTTTTAAATGGTAAATATTACTTTATGTATATTTTACCACTATAAAAAAATCTTAGACTAAAATGTTTCCACCTCTTCCTCTCCCTGTGGCCAACAGAGGACACCTTGACATTTGCATAAAAAGATTTTAATTTATATGATACCTAAGCATCTTTAACTTCCTAATGCTGCTGGAGATCATAAATATAATGTTCATGTCACATACAAACCCATACCAAGATCTATTTTGATAATCTTACTGCCAAAGTACCTAAATATTTTCTTTTCATCTAATTGGAAGTGTGATATTTCCCATATATTAATAAGCTAAATATTTTGGTACATGGTACGTGCATAACGAAGTTAGTAAATGACCATTTCACTGACAGAATTAATTTAGGAGCACTGTACACCTAGCAGCGGCCTAACCTACATTTTTTTCTGTCTCAATTTAAAGTGCCAATTTATTTAAGGCACATATTAGTCTCCTTACCTAAAATAATTATCCCCTTCATTCTACCTGCTCAAATTCTACCCATTCCTGAGGACCCAGCTAAAGGCAAGTAATTTTACAAAGCACTTCCTGACTACCCCAGTCTGTATTAACCTTCCTAACCCCTAAGCTCTATCTAACCATTCGGTGCTTAGTAATAGATTGCCTTATATTATTTGCTATCATTTAATGTTTTAGAACCAACTAAAATATACCAAAAAATTGACAATTATTCCAGTCTGAAGGGATAGCCCCAAATAGTAGTAATACAAAGTAAATTCACTAAAACCAAATTGTGAACTTATTCATTCTCTTAAAGTCCAGTGCAACTCGATATGAAAATGAGTTCAAAATGACTACTGATTTGAACTACTTGATCCATGAATTCTAAAAACTGGCTTATGGAAGACTGGGAGGTTGGAACTCCCTCTCCTCCAACCCCAGGGCACATGCGCGCGTGCGTGCGCACACTCAGTAGCACACACATACTGGAGCACAAATTAACACATGAGTAGCAACTATATGAAAAGAAACTCTCTGGGAACTGAAGCAATAACATTGTTTTGAGCACCCACTATGTGCAAAGCACTTCGCTAAGCCCTGTGGGTAAGGAATTCACACATCTGCAGTCATCTTTGACCCAAATTCAGAGTCTATTGCCTTGGTGGTGAGGGCATGCCTCTGGGCATTGGCCTGCTGGGTTAATCTGGGAATTTTCCTCTTGGGTCAGACAGGAAACCAAGATGGGAAAAAAAAAAATATGAGCTGAGGTGGAGGCCAGTTGTCATCCCCCTGCAATAAAAACCCACGTATTCCAACAAACTGAAGAAGTTCCCTCTTTGTAGTTAAAATGGCATATTATTTGAGTTCAAATTCTTTCTATTAATATATAAGATTTATTGAAATTATATTGTTTGAGCACGAGCAAGAAAGCTGAATATTATTTCAGGTTTTCAAGCCATAAGGAAAAATAGTGCCTTTAGGTTTTCCATTCAACCAGGAAAATTATAGCTTCATGTTTGCAACACTGAGGCTAATGCAGTGTCAGCACCTCCGTCAAACTCCGCTGTTCAGCAGTTTATAACTCAAGCAGAAATGTTCACTCCGAGCCCAAGCCTGGCCTATACACTCTCAAAGAAAAATGGGGAAAAATTATTTTGGCTAGTGCTGACTTAGAAAAGCAAAAGAGAGTGCTTTCACAGAGTATTTTGGAAAACATCTTTGAGAATTTGAGACTATGAAGGGGAATTACTGAGTTGACATCCTTCATTCCTGAAGTTAGAGAAATAACCAAAAATTACATGATGTCATGTCAGCATCGGCAGTTAACTACTTTCATGAAAGCCTTCATCAGGTGGAATTACGTAGCAGACAGAATTGCTATTCATAGAGAATAGAACAATTATAGTAGAAAATAAGGAAAAACAGGTAGAAATTTCTCGTAAGAGCCATCATGAATCTTTAGGTACTAACTCTAGTGCGCTGTACAAACACAAAATAAAAAAGATATTTTTTCCAGTTGGAAAAAAAATTATGTTGGAATGGCAAGGCTGGGATTCCCAAAGTCAACCTTCCTCCTTCCAAATGTTATCTTGGATTTGCAAACACTGTAGTGGTAAAGTGGATTCCCCGTGGCAGGTGACAAGAGCTACTGGGCTGCCCAACTCACTGGAGGAGGGTGGGTGTCAGGTGGGGTGGGGCGCTAGTCAGTTCTGGGACGCAGTCATGTGGCAGGTGGGTTATAGATGGCCTGGTGTCTCCGTGGCATCTATGGGTCCAGCAGCCAATCCCTGATCACTCTGATCTACATCAAAACTTTGATATCGTGGTATCAGAGCATTACATGCAAAAGTCATCGTTTCCCCTCTGAGGAAGGCTCACTTGCGTTAAGTACGCTGTTATTTAGGCACTCTATGCCTCTATTCACCCAGCATTTATTAAAACCTTAATAAACCAGGCTACAGGTGATTTGACAGGATATGTTCTCCAGGAGGTGTCAGGAGGAAGTGAAGAGCATTTCATAAAGACAACTCCAGGACAACTGCGGAGGAGGACCGCAGGGACCACTTCACTGAAGGGCCCTACGTGTCAGCAACGGCTCCTCTCTTCCCCACCACACGCCGCTGCAGTTTGAAACCTTTTGAAATCGCACTGACTCCCCTGGTGGCCCCTTCGGTTTTCCTTAAGGTTCACTTGGTCAGGCCCTCCCTGCGGACGGACGGGACCCTGGGTCATTCTGCGAGCTAAACGGCCAGGCCTGCGGGAGAAGTAACAAGGACAGGTTTTCAGGGGGCGGAGGGCAGCTGTGGCATCTGGAAGGGAGGGCGAGCCTGGCGGCGTGGCCTGGAGAGTCTGACCGGGCTTGGGCATTGCCGGGCGCAGAGAGGACTCGGGCTCCGGGCTCACCTGATTGAAGGGTGCAGCAATGAGCGACGGTTCCCATGGCTTAGAATTGGTGCTCGTCGCCCCGCCTTTCTCTTTCTTGGGTGCCATGCAAAGGGGAGAAGAGCATTGGCTTCTAAATAGAGATCAGGCCCGTACTAAGCGTCCCCGCTGCCATAGTAACCGAAGCCGCGCTCAGTTTCTGAACGATTTCGGTTCCCCTCCCCCAAGCCAGTCCGGATTCTTCCGGTCAACCGCTTCCGTCGCCATAGCAACGGAGTTTCCCAGCCACAGGACAATTACGCTGGGACTCCTAGCCCTCTGGTTAAATCTCAGGGTTTTGCAGGAGGAGGCCTGGGCCAGTGGAGGAAAGGATGCGCACGGCCAGGCTGCTTTCTTGACGCGTTTAGACCCTCTCTGCCCTCTGTGGTCCGAAGCACTGTCTAGAAACTCAAAACCCCTGGACCCTTGTCCATGACCTCTCCACCCCATCCCTGGAGCCCTAGAATGGAGAACTGACCCTTCAGGAGGCGGCCCAAGCCGTTCCCTTATCTGCTCTCTCTGCCCACAATGCTTCCTTGGGTGAAGCCACATTTGACTCCCCTAACTCCAGCCTCTGCTTTAGTCTTGGTTCTGCCTTCCGGGAGATCCTTTGTGTAATTGCGGAGGAGGTTAGTGTCTTTCTAAATCAATCAGACCCAGTTTTTTTTAACTGTCCTGTAGTATTGGTAAGCAGAACTTCTTTTCCCCCTTTTCCTACCAGGTACTTCCAAATATGTAAAATATCCTGGTCGGACAGAGTCTCCCAAATAATAATGAGAATAATAATAATAATAATGCTGCTAATATCAACTGCTCTGCTAATATCAACAGCTCTCATTTCCTAAGCACTGGTTATATTCTGTACAACATAGTTACAACGTTTAATTCTTACAACAACCTTATTCCAAGCCCCTCAGGGTAGGACTAATGGCACCTGGATTAGAACCCAGTTATTTTCTAAGTCCCAAACCCACTGTGCTTAACCTCTATACCACTACCTACCACTGTTTCAGGCCTTCCAACATAACAGATGCCCACTTTGGGGGACAGACTTACTTTTATTTTTTATTGCAATGAGACAAATTTGAGAATAAAATTTCTGAAGCATGGTGAAGACTTAGGGTTCCAGAAAGAGGTTTTCCTGAGGGTCTCCATAGCAACTACCTGGACTGCTGCTAATTTATTACCATAGAATTGTCTCCAAAATTTTGTTCTTCACTAAACTTGTCTTTGTAAGATGAAAATTGTCTTTGGATTATGGCTTGCACACAAAGATTAATCTCTTACAGACAAATATAAGTAATCAGTGATTACATCATTCTGAATTTTAACCATAATTATTCTCATAGGTTTAAACTGTTTGGGAAAGAAGTCTTGCCTTTTTATTAGGAAAGCAGTAAAAAATTTGTTGGCCTTCCAGTTATGTTTTATAAAAAATTTAACTAGATGTTTATGTACCGGTATGTCATACTATGTTACTAATTTTCTTCTTAATGCCAATGTGTATTTCAAAATAAACATATTATGTACAGTCAGTTCAGCCAAATCCTAGCAGATGATTAATAAAATAGGTTGCAGATAAGACAGAGAAGCAAAGAAGAAAAAAATAAAATAAGGAGAAAAAAAGTAAAGTCAAGGGTTATTTTAAATTGTAGAGAGTGCAACTAGTTACATCTTACAAGTGACAGCTATCCAACCCCAATTTTGGTAGCAACAAAATGTGACATTTATTGTGGCAAGAATGGACTAGCTGTTTTACAATTATTGGATTTTCTTTCCTCCTATAGTGAGAGTGAGACATTTTCCAACCTTCCTTACCCTTACGTGTGAACATGTGACTGAGTTCCAGTTGGTGAGACATGAGCAGAAGGTGCTATCGCCACGACCAAGGCTAGCCTATGACAGCACCTTCCAGGCACTGTTCGTGCCATTCCCTCATCTGCCCGGATACTGGAGGACCCTGGAAGCCTTGGGTCCCTGACTGATTTCTGTGGCACAGAGAACCCTTTCCCCTGAGGTGTGTCCTGCTTTCTGCACCAAAGGCATTTGCTGAGGGTTTTAAATTGGATGAGAATTAAACCTTTATTTTTTTCTTTATTTCTTTTTTATTTTTAATTGTTTTCTTTTTTTAAGTATATTTTATTCATTATGCTATTACACTTGTCCCATTTTTTTCTCCCCTTTCTCCCCCTCCGCCCTGCACCCCCCTCCCACCAACACTCCCCTCACCCTTAGTTCATGTCCATGGGTCATACATATAAGTTCTCTGGTTTCTCCATTTCCTATATTATTCTTAACCTCCCCCCATCTATTTTGTACCTACTATTTATGCTTCTTATTACCTGTACCTTTTCCCCCATTTTCCCCCACCCCTCCTCACTGATAACCCTCCATGTGATCTCCATTTCTGTGATTCTGTTCTGCTCTAGTTGTTTGCTTAGTTTGTTTGGCTTTTTTGTTTGTTTTTTAGGTTCAGTTGTTGATAGTTGTGGGTTTGTTGTCATTTTACTGTTCATAGTTTTGATCTTCTTTTTCTTAGATAAGTCCCTTTAACATTTCATGTAATAAGGGCATGGTGATGATGAACTCCTTTATCTTGACCTTATCTGGGAAGCACTTTATCTGCCCTTCCATTCTAAATGACAGCTTTGCTGGAGAGGGTAACCTTGGATGTAGGTCCTTGTTTTTCAGGACTTTGAATACGTCTTTCCAGCCCCTTCTTGCCTGCAAGGTTTCTTTTGTGAAATCGGCTGATAGTCTTATGGGAACTCCTTTGTAAGTAACTGTCTCCTTTTCTCTTGCTGCTTTTAAGATTCTCTCCTTATCTTTAACCTTGGGTAATTTAATTATGATGTGTTAGTATGCTCCTCCTTGGGTCCAACTTCTTTGGGACTCTGTGCTTCCTGGACTTCCTGGAAGTCTATTTTCTTCGCCAGATTGGGGAAATTTTCCTTCATTATTTTTTCAAGTAAGTTTTCTATTTCTTGTTCATCCTTTTCTCCTTCTGGTACCCCTCTGATTTGAATGCTGGAACATGTAAAGTTGTCCCAGAGGTTCCTAAACCTCTTCTCATTTTTTTGAATTCTTGTTTCTTCATTCTGTTCCAGTTGAATGTTTATTTCTTCTTTCTGTTCCAAATTGTTGATTTGAGTCCTGATTTCCTTCCCTTTACTGTTGGTTCCCTGTACATTTTGCTTTACTTCACTTTGCATAGCCTTCACTTTCTTCCTTTATTTTGTGGCCATACTCAATCATTTCTGTGAGCATCCTGATAGGATGTCTATCTCCTCATCGCTTAATTCTTTTTCTGGAATTTTGATCTGTTCTTTAATTTGGATCATGTTTCTTTGTGTCAGCACACCTATTAGGTTATAAGCAATGGAGCTGTAGATATTCACCAGGGCGGGACAACCCACTCCTCTGTGCTGTAGCACCATATGTTGGGGAAGAGTCAGAGAGGGAACAATGCCACTAGCTTGGCTCTTGCCCCACTTTGAGTCACTTTGCCTGCTACCCACAAGCAAATCGGGCCCTTTTGGTGCTGATTCCCAGGTGGGTGGGTTTGTGTACATTCTAGGGCCCTGTAGGTCCCTCCAATAAACTCTACTGTGAGGCTGGGAGTTTTTCCTGCCTTTGCAACTCCCACAGATTTTTATAGCTAGAGGTTTTGAGGTTTTAGTTTCCCGCACTGGAACCCTGGGTTGCGGGGTCTATCTCCCTCCCCAGTTGTTCCTCTCGCCAGGGACCACTTGGTTCACCAGCCACTGCCTCGCCCACCCAGTCCACCACCTTGTCAGGTGTCCTCTCTGTCCCAGCTGCCCATCCAGGCCCCTCCTACTGGTCTGAATGAATGTTTTTTCTTTAACTCCTTGATTGTCAGACTTCCATACAGCTTGATTTTCTGGCAGTTCTTGATTTTCTGGCAGTTCTGTGGTGTTTTTTTTTAATTTGTTTTTGTCCTTCTTTTGGTTGTGTGAAGAAGCAAAGCGTATCTACCTACACCTCCATCTTGGCCAGAAGTCTAAATTTTTTTTTTTCCTTAAGCTGCTGAAATACTGAGATTTGTCACAGCAGCTGATTCCTCTGTATGATATAACATTTTTTATCATTTTGATTTGAGAATCAGCTTAATACATCTCAGGAGACAACCTTGTCACTTTCAAGTAGGACTCAATGCTGGCTCCTACGGTGAGAGGCACACAGATCTGACCCCTGCCTTTCAGGAGATGGGTGTCCAGTATTACCCACCAGATCATACCCTTCACCTGGTCTTCCACCTGCTTATACAGTACATTCTTTAACTTCTTTATCAAGTAAATAAATATCTTATTTGAAGAAATAATTTGCATAATGAAGTAATACTCTGCTTGTCATAAACACTTATTAAAAAATTTGCCCATTTTTTAGAAGATGAACCAAGATCCATCAGCTAGCCATTTATATACATAAATTATAATTTAGCAAATGATTTAAAGGAATAGGACATTTTAAAAGCCAAAAATAAAGATTCTGGGTAGAAGACTATATTTCCAGTATAATCTTTTATACTTTCCTTTGTAAGGTCCTACCAGAATAAATTTAAACATAGAAGGTTTTCAAAAATTGATTTAGAGAATTTAAAATAAGGGTTTTATTACAGAATGCTTTTGCCTAGTTTTGGCCTTTTTCATTATACTAGGGAAAGTGGTACTCGATAATTTATGATACAAAATGGGAAGACATTATACAGTAACCAAATTTATAGGGGGTTTCATCATAGAATTGGTCTGTTTAATCTCAGAAAATAGGTGTGAATGACAATGTTCATAGTTTTAAGAAGTGAGAGCCATTCAGCTAAAAAGGGACCCTGCCAAGAATAGAAAAAAAAGCATTACCATCTGTCATACATTTATGCTTTTTTGGTATAATAAATTGTTTCCCTCACTAAATATAAGTTGAAACTTTATAAGCATATACTTTACTACATAAATTTTCCCATATGTCAGTGGCTAAAACAAAACTATACTTTTTGGAGAATTTTCTTTCACATTGGCAGGCTTATTACTGGTCTGATTTTGCTTTTCCAGTAA